AAAAGAATAATAATAATAATAAGATAATAATTTAAAAAAAAATTAAAAAATTACTCAAAGAAAAGTTTCTTTCAATCTCTCTATTCTACCATTAATGATGCTTCCGAAAAAGCTTTAATGGGCTAAGTTGACCCAATACAACAACCCTGTACGTTATTTTGGCGGTTTATATATAAATGTATATATATTGATATTAGATTTTTAATATTCGATAATTACATTGAAATCAAATTAATTTAGAATTGATTTGTATTAGATCTCATAAAAAGAAAGCTCTTTTAATATTTATTTTTTCATTCACAATATTTAAACTCAAAATTTTATTTAAAAAAAAAAAATTTACTTAAATCAACAAGTCGTGCTTTTGCCATTCTATGTTCTTCTAAAGATGCCAGGAAACTTTAACAAACAACCCCACGATTGCTCGATCTATTGCTACTTTGCGAAAGATTTCTTCCCTTTGGAATCACATATTTTATGTACATTAAAAGCAGATTCATGATTTAAATTTTATAGTATATAGGGTTTCTCCCTCTAGGTTTCTCCCGTGCTCTGCTCAGGGTTGAGAGCAGAGGTAATGGGTTTTCTTCTTTGAGGTTTTTCTCTGACGTAGGAGTTTCTTCTTTTTTGGTTTCTTCTTACCCTTACCTTCCTCTTCGATCTATTCTTCACCTTTGTTGACTGTCTTGCTTTGGAAACTTCAACCCAAGGGACCACAAGACAACTGACATATTCAGATCTACATCTGTGCTTAATTTTTGAAGGCTGTAACAAGGGTATCTTGTTGGCGGATTGGCTTTAACGAGTAGGAACCTCGTTTTTGGCTCATCTTCCCTAATGGGATCTTGATGAGGGTCAAATTCAGCAACGCTAGTTCATTCCAATTTCAGATTAGATAGTCAAATATGGAAGGAAAGAGATGTTGTGGGTGTCGACGATTTCGGTTTGTATGGGAGGCATGATATTCAAGCCAGCAAAGGGGCTCTAGTTACCTTAATAGGGTGGCAACCTGCAGGTTATGAACTGTTTGTTGTTAGAATCCCTTACTCTTCTCATGAAGCTGGTTCCAGTAGCTTTTAATGCTCAGATGGACTCTCTGCAATTGTAATCCCTAATTACAGGTGATTCTCTTTACTTAATTGTCTATATTTGTCATAAGTATAGTTTAAATCTATTATTAGTGTGGTTATGCTTTTAATTTGTCTTTTGGTTAGAATGCTTTAGGCTACCTATCCTGTTATGGAGTTTTTTTTGTACGTTTTTATTATTTAATATAATTTTTCCATGTCCTATAAAAAAAATAGCAGATTCATATTTTACCAGATATGTTATATATTGAAAATATAATTTATCTTATAAATTTATTAAAATATTTTTATTTTTTTATCAAAATTTTATTAAAAATATTTTAATAGGGTTATAAAACAACTGTGCATATATTTCACTTGTAAAACGCTTTCTTTTCTCCTTTATTCTTCTTCCTCTCCTTTCTCTATTTTGGGTTGCAAACATAACTCACAATACAAGAAAGACGCAGCTGGTTATGCCGTTTGCCATGGAAGAGGCAGAAAAGCACTGCTGCTTATCGCACGAGTTTTACAGAGCAGCAACTAAGAACCCAAATAAGATCGCCGTCATACATGCGTCCTCGTCGCCAGTCGGTGAGGCCCAGATTGACAGCGTGTCAATCGCCGCCGGGAATCCTCCGGTTTACCCAGGGGACTGCCGTTTCACTTTCAATGACGTCATGGCGTCCGTCGGTTGCCTTACTTCTCGCCTCCGCTCCATTCTTAATGGCGCCAATGACCCCAGCTTGGTCAACCCACAATCCTTAGGAAGTAATTCTACGAGTGGGCGGGATGTTTCCTTGTCTTCTTCGCCGCCAAGAGGAGCTCTGAGGACTGATCTTGGGAATGTATATTGTCCAAAAATAGTTGGGATATATATTCCACCTTCAGTGGAATACATAATTTCTGTTCTTTCCGTTTTAAGGTGCGGGGAGGCTTTCTTGCCTCTGGATCCCTCCTGGCCTAGAGATAGGATATTGTCTATCGTATCATCTTCAAATGCTGCTCTTGTTATAGCTTGTGGGTCTTCCTTTGGGAAAAGGGGTTGTGAGCCAATTGATAAATCGCATTGGCTTTTAGAGTGCTGCAGCTGCCCTGTATTGCGCTTTTCCATGGAGGAAACCGTTGAGCAGCATCAAGGACCAGTGGGTTTTCTTTTTCCTTGTGAGGAAGAAAGACAGAGATTGTTCTGTTATCTG